TACATTTACTCAGATTAAACTTTTGATCTGTCATCTATGTTATATTACGAATAAAATATTGACATTTGCCATCTCCACATCATTGCATTCAGTTTTTATTCACAATTTGTTTAGTGTCCCAACTTTTTTGGAATCCGGTTTGTAGATTATAAGGCGAATGTAGAAAACTAAAAACAGGAATATGTCTGCATTAGTCCTTGCCAGGAGTCTCAACAGATTTTTAAAGCCACTTAGAGAGGTCAAGGTCGAGAGCTTCAGGTCTTTTTGTAAGATATTCCAGGAAACAGGAGCGGAGTAGAAGAAGGCCCTTCAATAGTGCACTCTCTGCTTCTCTCATGCATCCTAACTCACCCAACCTGGTCGACAACTGCTGGCACTAACGTAGCGCTAAGCTAGCATTGCACAATACAGACGCGCTAGCTAAGAAGCTACAGACGTTGCGCTTTGATTCTTTCACATATCCTAACCCCCACACCCTGGTCAGCACCTGCTGGCACTAACGTATTGCTAAGATAGCACCAAATACACAGGTGTCCTCCCCCGCCCCATCAACAAAACGCCCTCAGAGATTAGCGCCCTGCCAAGGCAAGTGATTTAGAGGGAACACTGCATGCGATGTGGTGAGTTGTAGTAGGTAACCAGGAACACCCGGAGTGGACTTTTACTGGTTTGTGTATTCTCCTATTAATCAAGTGGAATGGATTTGTTCACATAGCAATAGAAACAGCACTAGTGAACTAATATTTCATGGTAAATGTGGGGGGAGTCCAAATGAACATTTTTTTAAATGTGAGGACACAATTGATGCAACATCAATGGATTTGCCACATAATGGATTTTCAGGTCTCTCTTGTAAATGAGTCCTGGAGGCTCAATGGGATTTACCTGTCTAAATAAAGGTCGAATGAAAATGGATGGCAGAGTCTATAGCAACTTATGATACCAGTGTTGGTGTCGGACCGTATTGATACTTGAGTTTGCTTTTACCTTCATTATGTCGCTCCCGTTCCAAAAATACAACACTGCGCCAGAGTAGCTGGCTGAAGACTAGATTAAATATAAACACTGGACCAAACAAGCCTGTCGGATAATAATTCATTCAGCTGTGATTGTCAAACTTCATGATAGCCAAACATGTGAACAAAATATCAGAATTAAGCATTAAGACCTTCAGCTTGAACGTAGATGAGATCTGACCCTTCTGCATGCAGCCCTTAATAAACGTAACTTGTAGACTGTTCTAAATGACACATTTAACTTGATAGCAATAAATCATCTTCCATATATGGAAATATAAATTTAAAAAACTCATAACTATCATGAACCTTTTGTCCTAGTGGTAGTCCCGGGCAAGACGCTGCTCTGCTTCATTTCATATTGCAGGAATTGCAAAATCTCATTTCAGCCAGTTTTCTAGATATTGAGGTCAAATTCATAGTGGTAGTAGCTGAGATCGATCCCTAGCTCACACTCTATCACTACTCTTTGTGTGAGCTCTTTTCTTAAAACTTAAACATTAACTGTTGGAGCCAACCCTGTCTGTTAGCAAAATATCTCATAGGTTTTAATAAAGCTTTTAGAAAGTTATCACTAGATGTCCATTAACAGCTGATTACACCCAATTGAAGATGGTCGCTGCACCCCCTCATCAATCTTAGCTATTTAAATGGGCCATAACTTCATCACATTTTGTAGTTTCTGAGCTGAAAATTGATGTGTTGGTAGCTGAGACTCATTCGCAACCCACACTTTGAGCGTGACATCCTGTAATGTTGCGTGACAATGCAACTCATTTCTTAATATAAGAGGACCTAAGACGTCTGGTGTTACAGGTGGCGGGCGATATGCATTCCTTCATGAAAGGCACCTTAGACTGTCAATGAGACTGTTAGGTTAGTCACTCCAAATTTTGTCACTGCCTCAAGTGCAGTGCAGACATACGCTGCCTGGCCCCCCAAAAAAGTCGCCACAAAACAAAAGGTCACATTAATATTTCGTTGGACCGCCTTTAACTTTGATCACAGCATCATTCACTGTGACATTAATAAACTTCTTCAATGTCACAAGATCTATTTCCATCCAGTGTTGCATTCATTTTTCACCAAGATCTTGCATTGATCACTAGACACTAGGCATGATGGGTACATCACTTCACCTCCCTCTCTTCTTACCCTGATGCACCCATCACTCTGGAACAGGGTAAATCTGGACTCATCAGATCACATGACCTTCTTCCATTGCTCCACAGTCCAATCTTTGTTCCCTAGCAAATTGAAGCCTTTTTTTCCAGTTAGCTTCCCTGATTAGTGGTTTTCTTAAGGCTACACAGCTGTCCAGTCCCGATTCTTGAGTTCCTTCACATTGTGCGTGTGGAAATGCTCTTACTTTCATTATTAAACATAGTCCTGAGAGCTACTGTTGTTTTTCTTTGATTTGATTTCACCAAATGTTTAAGTGATCGCCGATCACGATCATTCAGGATTTTTTTCTGGCCACATTTCTTCCTTGAAGACGATGGGTCCCCACTATCCTTCCAGTTTTTAATAATGCGTTGGACAGTTCTTAACCCAGTTTTAGTACAAACCGGATTCCAAAAAAGTTGGGACACTAAACAAATTGTGAATAAAAACTGAATGCAATGATGTGGAGATGGCAAATGTCAATATTTTATTCATAATATAACATAGATGACAGATCAAAAGTTTAATCTGAGTAAATGTAACATTTTAAAGGAAAAATATGTTGATTCAAAATTTCACAGTGTCAACAAATCCCAAAAAAGTTGGAACAAGTAGCAATAAGTGGCTGGAAAAAGGAAATTGAGCATATAATGAAGAGCTGGAAGACCAATTAACACTAATTAGGTCAATTGACAACATGATTGGGTATAAAAAGAGCTTCTCAGAGTGTCAGAGTCTCTTAGAAGCCAAGATGGTAAGAGGATCACCAATTCCACCATTGTTGCAAAGAAAGATAGTGCAGCAATACCAGAATGGTGTTACCCAGCGTAAAATAGCAAAGACTTTTAAGTTATCATCATCAACCGTGCATAACATCATCAAAAGATTCAGAGAATCTGGAACAATTGCTGTGCGTAAGGGTCAATGCCGTAAAACTCTACTGGATGCTCGTGATCTCCGGGCCCTTAAACGTCACTGCACCTCAAACAGGAATGCCACTGTCAAGGAAATAACTGAATGGGCTCAGGAATACTTCCAGAAAGCATTGTCGGTGAACACAATCCACCGTGCCATCCGCCGTTGCCAGCTGAAACTCTACAGTGCAAAGAGGAAGCCATTTCTAAGCAAGCTCCACAAGCTCAGACGTTTGCACTGGGCCAGGGGTCATTTAAAATGGAGTGTGGCAAAATGGAAGACTGTTCTGTGGTCAGATGAGTCACGATTTGAAGTTCTTTATGGAACACTGGGACGCCATGTCATCCGGACCAGAGAGGACAAGGATAGCCCAAGTTGTTATCAACGCTCCGTTCAGAAGCCTGCATCACTGATGGTATGGGGTTGCATGAGTGCTTGTGGCATGGGCAGCTTGCATGTCTGGAAAGGCACCATTAATGCAGAGAACTATGCTCAGGTTCTAGAACAACATATGCTCCCATCTAGACGTCATCTCTTTCAGGGAACACCCTGCATTTTTCAACACGATAATGCCAGACC